TAGGAAGAACAACCTTCAGAACACGGCCAAAGAGCCCGAAAAACCCACAACAACCATTAGATCCTGGCTGTGAAAGCCTTCGTGAAAAAACCCAATGTTTTGACTGAGCAGGCCTGCTCCACCTAGTAGAAGCAATGCGCAGAAATACCAAATGACCATTCCTATAGATGATGGACATGAGACAGATCCTGAATCTCCTGAGAGAAAATCTTCACAGGACATGATGGACATTAGACAGAATCTCCTGAGAGAAAATCTTCACAGGACAGTGTGGGTGGAAGGTAGCTGTCACATCACATGCAATTACACAAGAGTCCATTTTGTTCCCAAAACAAAAGGCATAACCAGGAAGATTCTAGATCACAAAACAATTGTTATTGTGAGAAAGAGCAAGGGACACACTACAACAGTGAAAGAGCTTCTAGGATGATGCAAAAATATACACGGAAAGCAAAACAGAATGGAATCCCTTTTCTCCACAGTCCTTACTCCCCAAATTTCACCCTGGTATCCTAGTGCTGATAACACACTGCCAGTCCCATAATGACAAAAATCATTATCAGCCTCACTCAAAGTTCATTTTGTATCTACCCAATAAGGATTCCAGTCAAACTGCATGTGTCCCAATAACAAACATCACCAATGCCTACGCTTACAGAAGCTTCTGCAGTGTCTCCACAACAGCAGAACTGGTGAGCTGAAGAGAAACAGAGAGTTTATATGACAGATTGGAGGCACTGGGCAAAGATTTGTGCTCATGGGCCATTATTTTCTCCAGAAGCCCACATTCAGACATTGACTTCCTCTTGGTGAAGCATTTCAGCCAATCTGGACCTTTTTGTACACGGATTGAATTAAATGGGACACTCAGGCACCCCTACTGTGTTTGGAATGATCCCCTTGCATGCTTTTCTTAGAAGGTTATGGACAGCAACATTTGACTGAAACTGGGGTGAGGGGTGCCAAGCCATACAGCTTGTGAATTTCATTACGTTTCTTTCACATTTCTGCCATAATTCAAGAATTGATTCTTTTGTTTCCTCTCTCCTCTAACCCTGGTTTGCTCCAAACATCATACTAATTCCCAACTTCAATGCTGAAATGTCTTCCCTTTCACTTACTGCTTTCCCTTCAGGCCCAGGAAGGCCTCTCTCTCCTGGAAGGCCCTGAAGGAAAAAAAGGACATTGAGAGTAGCCATTAGACTAAGAAGGCATCCAGACCACCTTCTAAAGCACAGTGTAATGCAGCACTGAATACATTTGTAAGGCATAACAGGACGCCCTTGTTTTCGTATCATGCATTTCTCAGTATGGAACATGTCCTCCCCAATCCCAACATGACTAGTTAGCAGTAGGAACTTCAATTTTGGAAATGTTTTCTTACGCTTTCTACTAATGGCCATCATTTCTGTCATAGGTCCATCAGCAATACTCACTGGAGCACCATCTCTGCCTTTCTCGCCAGCTTCTCCTTTTCCCCCTTTCTGCCCGGCTTCACCCTGCAATTCAAAATGTCATTTGATGTCACAAAGGCAATCAGGCTGGCACGCGCGCACAAACACACACACATACGCACACACACACACCGCTTTGTGCGAGTCTTCCCACTGAATAGCCAATTGACATTCTGTTCTTTGATCAACCAGCGGTTTAACTTCTGCTTCGGTGAGTTATTTATTAAGCCCATGAAACAGATAGAGAAAAGGAATCAAGAAGCAAGACAAAGTCAAACACTTGCAGAAAAGAAGAGTTTGCCTTCTTGCAAGTGGAGGAAGAGAAGAGACACAGAGAAAGCTGGAGAGATGCAAGGCTGGAAGACTTACTACATTCAGACCTTATCGCCTCTAGAGCCTTTTTCACCATCTTCTCCTGGCTCTCCCTGTAAAAGAAAGAAGAAAAAGAGAGGGCTTAATTTTAATTATGCGCTTTATGAGATCAGTTTTTAATTGGAAAGTTTTAATAGACAAGTGTTAAAAGGAAGATGAATTAATAAATTAAAGATAGATTTTTACTTCTAACAATGAGTAGTTTTTGCTTGTTTCAGTCATTTTCTTAATTTTCTCAAGACAACATGCACACTGATGTTTTGGTAAATATTTATATTTTTGATTTCTTAAAAAGAGAGCATCCAGATCTCTTATTGATGATTAAATATTTCCAAAGAGAAAGGAGTTTACAATCCTGCAACCACAGGATCAAAACAAATGGCCATGAATTACAGCATTTTCAAAGATGCCATACTTGCAAAATTGACTTGCAAATAAAACAGCTTGTTTCTTGCTGATGACTAATTGCCAAGTAAAAGGAAGCTAATGTGCAACTTCCATGCTTTCTTCAATGAAATCCCATTACAAGATGATCACCCATACATTACTGCATAAGCTAAACTTTATTTCTAGTTGCAGAGCTGCCTTAAGATTTGAACTGGGTTCAAATTGCTATGGTTCTCAGATTTGGGAAGCAAGGAAATGAAGTGGCAATTCTGATATAACTCAAGATCAAAACAAGGATTCATTATTGACATTGTAAGTAAGTCGATCGGACCGCTGATTCAAATGGAAAAACAAGAACTGTTAAAAAAAATCAAACACTCCAAAATTGCAAAATGAATTTCATTAACAAATAAATACCAAACTAGACATGACATTAATTGTATAAATGCAATTAAGAAATGCAAATTATTAAAAAAAGAGAGAAGTGAAGAGCTGCTAAGGGGAAGTGCAAGGGAAAGCAGAGCTTAATCCTTTCTCAGGGTCCCTGTAGTCCCAGTGAAAACTGCCTCCCTTCATCTTCTGTCCACATAGAAAAGAAAGCTTTCACTAGAAAAGCACTGATGCAATTAACATGAGGTTGAGTTTGGCACGAATGCAAGGAAAAGCGAGAGGGCTCTGCACTCACTTTGCTTCCTTTGGGTCCAGCAGGGCCACGTTCCCCTGGAAGCCCCGAAAGGCTTCCTTCCATCACGTCTACCTGGAAACATATAAATATATCAGTCCAGTGATTTCCTCCCTCTGCCCCGCCCTTCTGTCCAAAAACAGCTTCTTTATGCATTTTCATCTATCTCATAACCCATCAATAAATTTCATATTCAAAACAGAGTTGTAGGAACTGTTACATCCTGTCATGATACACCTTTCCTTGGGAACGAGCAAATGATTGCTAAAGGACCAGATATCTTACTCAGCACTTGTTTTAGGCTTCTATCTTGAGATTTTTGAGCTCGATGAGACTTTCAATAGGTCTAAGTCAAAACTCAGAATGTAGAAGCTACAGTTTTATGGAGGTAAGGCCAATAAACAACAACTCAAACAGAAACGCAATAAGGTGACGAGCAGGAATTTGGGTGGGGGCTTGGCAGGGTGGGGGAAGAGATTGACAGTATCACATGTTGATGGTTACTCTTTGTGTTTTCCTCCGATAATTAAAGTGGATGGGGAATTGTGTAGCCATGGGGTCAGTCAGCAGACAGGAAACGCCTAGCACTTGTGTTAGAGATATTTTCTGAGGTGTTATATCTACTTAGAGCAATGCATGTTAGAGACAAGCTTTACATTTTATCCCTGTTAGAAACTAGGCCATTCTTAGTGATCAAGATAAAATGGGAACAGGTGTTGCGTGGGAATAGATGTGTGTATTTAGTGAACGTTGTGTCGTACTGAAATGCTAGCCCAAGGAATTGGCCAGACTGGGGTAGGCAACTTTGGTGGATCCTTGGACCAACCCCATTCCCTAGTAGCCACAATGACCTGCACTTCCACCACATCAATTGCCCCTCCTCCTTTTAAAGCAATCATTTAGCTTAGTTCAAAAGGACGTCTGTGGATTTGGCAGCAGGTGGCTGCAAAGCATCTTAAGCAAGCGAAATACTTCTTTTTGAAGTAGGAGGTACTGGTTACCAGTGACATTTGGTGACACCATTTTAGCTTAGAAGTATGCAAATATGGTTGGGGGGGCAATTTTTACCCAGGTCTAGATCTAGATCAGGTGTAGATCACAGAGTACAAATCACAAGGGACAAAAGATTCAGGAATACTTTTGTTTCTAGGAGTTTCAAATCCAAAGTTTTCCCTTGGAGTTTAAGGTATTCAGGATGCAGATCAACACTAATAATGAACAGTTTTTTGTCATCATTGTGAGCTCATCCTCCAAGAAAAGCTGATGTACAGGCTTGAACGAAGCACTCACTTTGGGTCCTGGTGGCCCTGGAGGGCCTGGTAAGCCATCTCTACCCTGGAGACAAGAGATACAGCACAGAATCAAATGCATGAATTATCTGTCAGACAGATAACCTAATCCCTGTCCACACACACTCACATGTAAGTCACAGGAGTAGACATTTTACAAAGACTTTTTAAGGCAGAAGGCAAATGAGTAATCAGAGAGATAGCCCCATACATATAGTCTATGCATTTCACATTTACATTTTTTTAAAAAAAGATGCAATTAAAAAAGAAAAGAAAAACAGATTCAAGACAAAGGGATTTAGAGCTGAAAGGCAATGACCCTAAATTATTTCCATGTCTGTTTGTGCACCCCTCCCAAGTGAATTCTCTCTGAGCAGTGTTCAAAAAATGTGTTGTGCTTTTAGATTTGAATCTTTCTAGTTTTAATTATAGGTGAAAACAAAATAAAAATAAGGATTTGAATCTTTCTAGTTTTAATTACAGGTGAAAACAAAATAAAAATAACAAGTAAAAAAAGAAAAACTTGGTGGCACCTTAAAGACTGACTTTTATATTTTTGATGTGAGGTTTCGTGGACAAGTCCCCTTCATCAGACATAAGAGAAGGAGAAATAATATGAGAAAGATTTATAGATGGCATCAAAATATAGATATCAACACAGAGATCATAATTGGTTGGTAAGAAAGTTGGTGAGTGATGATAATAGTGTCTTTGATATGCAGGTCTTTGGTAGAAGCTTTTGTGCTCTAAAGAATGTGAGAACCTCTCATAAATTAACAATGGTAAAATAACATTGGTAGAGTAACATGAATGCTAATTAGATGGACTATTTACAGTCCTTGGTGAAGTTTTCTACAAGCTGTTCTTTGTATTCAAGTGCAAAGTGTGTGAATAATCCCAGGCAATGGATGGCCACAAGAGCAAAGCAGAATTTGTTTTCCCTTAGAAATTTCTAAGGTGGACCTGTTGAGGGTAGAAAAATATTTGGAAGGTACAATACAGTACAATATTTATAGTGTTTATATTTGGTAGTGCTCCCAAAAGCCTTGGCTTATATTAAGTGCTTTGATATGTATGTCTAGCATGAATATCTATTTCATTTCAGCTGTTTCTCTGTGGATTCTTGCCTATAGTTTCTTTTTTCTAGGATGGCCACTTTTAAATAATCTGTGGAGTGTCCTGGTAAATTATATAAAACTCATTTAAATCTAACTGTTATTTTCACTATGTTCTTCTTCTTTCCATCGGTCCTCTTCTTTCTCATCTTTCAGCCAATCTCTTCTCTGGGTCTTCTCCCCGGACACAAGCAACTATCAGCAACGGACTCTGCTCCTGCTAAGCTTTTCTGACACCATAAGCCACTTTAACAATCAATCATTTCCCCTCCACCCTCTTATTTTGGAATCAAGTCACTTCTGGGGGGGGGGCTTTATAGGATCTTGTAGATCCTATAAAGCCATCTCACTGGTGGCCTCGACTCAAAATTAACACCTTTCTATATGTCTTCCAAAAGATTGACAGCTCTCTTATTCAAATATTATCTGTGGTCACATCCTCACTGGAAGGCATGAACACAGTCATACACTTTTTGAAACCACCCCTGATGTATTTCTTTTTTTTTTTTCCTACAGTAGCGTTTTAGCATTCATTCCCTTTAATGTTCAGGAAAGAAATCTCTCTATTTTGCTAATTTTGATGTTCTTCAGAGAATGCCATTCCTACACTCCTGAATATTTCTCCTCCGTCTGGGCCATGGCCTCCGTTTGATGGAAAATATTCAGCTGCACTTAAAGCCTTTGAATTGTCTGAAGCACATCCCCTTGAACTCCAGTATAGCATCTGGCTCCTCTTCTGACCAATTGGGATCTCTATTTTCTGCTTCCCGGGAAAATAATAAAATACAAATACCTAATTTTAAAATTCCAGGATGGTTTCCTATTCCTTTGTGTACTTCCTCCAAAAACGTTTTGAGGGTGCCTCAAAGAAACTGGGTAAGGAAAACTGAGTTTGAACAATTGTTTTTGCCTCAGCCATACTCTTTGTTATTTTTTCCCCTATAATATTTCTATTCATAGTGTTTCTAAGATGTTTGGGGCTTTACCATCCCAAAAGAAATATCAGATATATTGGACAGAGTCCAGAACTATGGATATGAAAGGCAGAGTTGCAAACCTTCTGGACTCAAATAAGTATGAACAACATTTCCTTGAACCAGTTAATATACTGTAATTCACTAACAAAACTATATTAGTGAACAAGACTTTGAAAATTATAAATTACCCAATCACAGGCTGCTGTTGGTTGTATGGCAATGTTGTCAGTTGGCTGTAACTAACAGATGGACTCATTCATATTAAGTGGTGTAACTGGATGAAAACTGGAGAGATCCAGGTTCAAATTCTATATAGGCATGAAGCTCCTAGGTCTAGGGCCACTCATTTTCTTTTTCAGACTACCCTACTTGATCAGACTGTTGTGAGGAAAAATGGACAGTAGAATCAAACATACAGTACTGTCCTGATCTCTTTATAATTGTGGTTCCCAGCCTTGGACAACCCAGGTGTTCTTGGACTGCAGTTCCCAGAAATCCTGGCCAGCAAAGTTGGTAGTGAAGGCTTCCGGGAATTGCGGTCCAAGAACTCCTGGGTTATCCAAGGTTGGTAATTAGTGCTTTGGAAGAAGAATAAAAACATGCAAGAAATAAATTGGATAGTAGTCAAGCCATGTCATAAAAATTCAATTTTAGTCCATTCTTGTTGCTTGTTTTCACTTTCTCTGTTTTCTGATCTTTGTTTTCCCCTATGCTCTCCTTAAAGCCTCTTTTCAGCATCTTCTCTGCAGCTTCCCAACTTTCACCAATTGCCTTCCTTTCTACCTCCTTCTATTTGGCTTAATGTCTATTATCAAGCAGCAGCCTTGAGCTTTCAGGCAAATGCATATTGTAGGTACGTAATACATATTTCATGTCCACACCTACAAATGCTCTAACATAGGTTGATTTGTAACTCCTCATGATCATCAGCTATAAACATTACAGTGAAATAAATATTCTTTATAATCACTTAATGTAACTTACTGGCTCTCCTCGATCACCCTTATCACCCCGATCACCCTGAAATAAGTAAATAATATATTTTAAGAAAGATGAAAAAGTGAGCAAAAATTTGGTGTCATCTCTAATAAATACAACAAGTTGACTCTTGAAAAATAACTTCTGAAGCTGCTGTCTCTCTCCATAGATAGATAGATAGAGAGAGAGAGAGAGGGAGAGGGAGGGAGGGAGAGGGAGAGG